GCGAGACCGGAGTTGCCAAGCAGACTGCGAGCTGCCCCGCGTCGCGCATTGTGTCGGAGCCAGCCTGCAGCCTTTGTGGCACCAGGAGAGCCTGCTGTGGGAGCGATGCTGCCTGCCCCACCGCATTCCTCCCCGTCTGCCCCGCACCGTGCCGGCGGCTCCCAGATCAGGCTCCCAGCCAGTGGGAATCCCTCCTCTCCTCCCCTCCCTGTCCCGTTGCTGCTCTGATTTAATCCCTCCTTTGGTTGGGTTCCTAGCAGCTGTTCTGATTTCCCTGTCCTTCTCCCATCCTGCCAGCCGCAGTTCCCTTGCTCAGCAGATATTTCATGGTGGTTTTGCCATTTTGCAGGGGATGCGGGGGGCAGACAAACACCCCAAATGTTCCTGGGAAAACGGGCAAGAGGCGAGGGCGACCCCCAAAGCGGAAAAAACTACTGGAAGAAAATTTGCTGAGGTACGGAAAGGTGGTTCCTGCAGTAGCAGTAAAATGCGTATGTTCCCAGAGGGAAGTCTAATGTACTTCTGGGGTTCCCCCAATAAGTATGTATATACCATGCAGCCATAACTTCGATGCATCTCTGAAATGAAGCAAGATCAGACTTGGTGGATGCTTTGATCACTCTCCAAAGAAAATTCTGACTGTGCTGGAAGCCAAGTTTGGTGCAACAGTGGGTATCACTCTTCCAACCACCGCACTTGGGATGCAGTTCCTCCGTGCAGCACTAGGCATTATGCTGCTGATAAAGAATGCTTTCACTGCCTAGCTCTTGAAGCCATTTGAGTAAATATAGATTTTGGGATCCTTCTCGTAAGAGTTGAAATACTGTACTTGCCAAACTCCAGCCTGCACGTTTCACTTCTTAAAATTTTATGAAGCTATGATAAATATGTGTATGAATATATATATCAAATGTGTGTTCTGCACCCTGGTTTTTTTCACCGTTTTGCTGTGCATTGAATAATTGCTGTGTCCCCCATTCTTCTCCTTCAGAAACACCTGCATTTGTAATGTGAAGTAATGTATTTATTGTATCACTCCTCTTTCTTTTTTGGTAGGGAGAAGGCAGAAGAGAATTTGCTAATCCGCGAGACTCAGATAAGAAATGGTAAAGAGATTTTGCGAGGTCAGGGTTGATATGATCAGCTAACACAGCTCTTAAATTATCAAAGCCTGGAGAGATGCCTTTCTTGGGAAAGGGAGAGTCTTTCTGCTGGTGGTTGGGGCTGAGTTTGGAAGGAGGACAGGCTACCTTTCAGCTGGGCACCTGCGGGCTTCCTATCTTATCATGGATTAGTTTGAGATGAAGAAACATAACGTCTTGGGTTACATTAGGCCTTGGGGGCCCACCTATTCACTAAAGTTGATGGAAGTGGGCTCTGAATGGCCCTTGCTCCTCCAGGGATGAGGTGAACACAAGCCCCTGTTTGTAGTGGATACTTTTTCTTGGACTTGGGAAGAGAGTGGGGTCAGTGACACCAAGATAGGGAAGGAAGAACCTTTTTGATTCTCCTCACCTCTCCTTCCCAGTGGCTGTTGGGTGGCTGAGCTCAGTAAATGATGTCTTGGGGCTACCCGCCTAAGGGTTAACAAGGCAAGCAGAAAAAGAAAGTTGGCAACATAATGTGCAAGTGAATCCGAGGGAGCTGGAACTCATTTGTCATACATGCGGATCCATTGGCTTCCGCATAACCCAGGGGCTCAGCCTACCCCTTGCCCCACGATAAAAGGCAAGAGTGGCATTGTCTTTCCCTGCCTCCTTCACTTCACCCTTTGTCTTCAGATTTCCTGGTGGCCACTCTGGAGCCGGGTGGCAGAGCTGGAGTGGCACGCGTGAGATGCTGGGGGGTTTATCAGATCATTGTCTTGAGCAAATTGTGTCACTTCAGCTGCGGAGTAGTCTTCTGGTGGCACAAAGCAGTGCCTTAGTCCTGGTTGCTTTTGATACGAGTCGCCCATAAGCAGCTGGCAAGGGAAGGGGAAACGAGGGGACAGGCTCTGGGGGCAGCGTGCAGATAAGCTCCCCACTAAACCTGGGCGGGGGACAGCTTCATGTAGCCAGGGCCACAGAAACCAGCACATGTTTGGTTCTTCGCTCTCTTGGTTACCAGTCCCCAGTGCTTTAACTTGAGCTGAAGCCAAGGGCGGGTTAAACTGCATGCTGGCCTGTGACCTGGGGTAGCACACGCTTGCTCTGTGCCACTGCCGCAGCACGGAGGTTTCCGACAGAGGGCAGGTGGCTGGAGGGAGGCTGTAGCTCTCCAGTCTTCCTGGGGCAACCTGATAGCTCATGTGCCGGAGCCGCTGGCAGCTCAAATCCACAAAGGGCTCAGGGTCAGGTTCAGAGAGAAAAGGGCTCTGTTTTTGGCTTCTTTATATTTTTCATAGTTAATTTGCTTGAAAATGCAGTGAGAAGCTGCATGACATCTGCCAGTGGGGGTGGTGACTGTTGCTTTCTTTCCAGTAGCCTGTGGTTAGCTCTAGAAAAGTCTCGAGGGAGCTAAGAACCCTTCAGCCTGAAGGTGTTTGAATCAATGTCTTCCCCCTCCCCAAAAACGGGCCACAATGGATTTTTTTGCTTAGAGAGTGTCCCGGGGCAAAAGCATACAAGTTGCAACCCATAAGGCTTCTCTGCTCTGTGTAAACATTTGTGGAGCAGGAACCACATTCCCCTTCTCCAGGTGGGTGTTCCAACCACCACATGAGAGAGTCCTTCCTTCACAATTAATATTCAAATGTTTCACACAAGGCGGAACAGCTCAGAGTGTCTTGGTTAGTTGGGACATGCTTCAGAGCGGTGGGAGAGCTGCTTCAGATCCCACTCTGGATTAAGCAGAGATGGGATGTGAACTTTGGGAACTTCCCCCTCATCTGGCAGCCCGATGAAGGCCATCCTTCACTTCCTCTTCTGTTCTTTCAAGTGCCTGCAAACAAAATGTTTCATTTGGGGAGAATGGGAAGTTCTATTCACCACAGCAAAGGTTTAAAGTGCTAAAAAAAAAAAAAAAAAAGAGAGAGAGAGAGAAAAAAAAGGCTTATTTCAAATAACATTAAGTTTCAGTGTTTTTATTCTGCTGCCAGACTAAATTAGATGTTTGCATTGTCCTATGTCCTGCTTTGGCGGACAGCCTCCGTTGCAAGAAACAAAGTAAATCTGTTTCTCTGGTCTGTCATAACTGGAATGGAGGCTTGCTACAGGGATGTCACACTACCCACGTTGTTACAAAGTGCCACCATTATTTCTTCACCTGTGTTCTTCCTCTGTGTCTTGGCATCACTTCTGGTGTTGCTAGGGGAGGTAGTGGTGCTTCTGGTGGATCAAGAGAGCTTTGGGTCCATAGCAAAGCATGTTTCTCATAACAGTGGCCGTTGGCAGTATCTTTTGCTCTTCCTGAGCCCTGAGGAGAGGAGGAGGGATAAAGAAAAGTTCTTAGTCGTAACTGCTGTGGAGATAACATCCTTTCATGTTGTTGAAGGGTCCCAAGGGCCTGGCCGTGGGACATGGTGGCTGCTGTGTCAGACGGAAGAGGAGTGGAGGCAGGTCACAGAGAGCTTCAGAGAGAGGACTTCCCTTAGAGAGCGGCAGCTCTACAAACTCTTGAGTGAAGACTTCCTGCCGGAGATCTGCAACATGATTGCACAGAAGGTGAGGAGACATGACATCCTGTTTACCTCTCTTTGACCGCTTCCAAGAGCATGGACATTTGCTGATTGAAGGAAAGCTAAATCCAAGCAACCCTCACCCTGTCCTGCTCCCGCCGCCTCCAGCCTGCAAATGTCATGAATGTGGGGGCTGTTTGGCTTGTGTTTGGGGAGAAAGACTCTCCCGCATGGAGTGGCAGGGCTAGAGGTGGTTCGTGATTGCACAGCAGCGTAGGTAGGATGGCTGAAGGGGTTTACTGTCTTCAGCCATGTTCTGTGTCCCTTTTCTGCTAGCAGGGAATCTGTCTGCTTTTGAACTGCTGCGATTTACAGCCTAGCTTTTCTGTGCAAAGTGCCTCTGATTCCACTTTTACTGCCATTTCTCAGCTGGCTCTGCTGACGGGGCAGTGGCTGCTTTAGCTGTGCTGGCTGAGTCGGCTTGAGCTGGTATGTCAGAGCCCTGAGACTCCGAAGGGTATTGTCTTGTCAACTGAATGTTTTCAGGTGGGACGGATTTGGAATGGGATCCTTCGGCTAGATGGCTGTGTAAAACGGGCTGTGCAGTCAGCGTGATGTTCTTGGATTGAGTTCAGTTTGCTTGTTTGCTACTCTTGTAAAGCAAATAGGGGTTTCATGGTCACTTCTAGCCCCCAGAGTTTCTCCTGCCAGTATCACCAATGTGCCCTAATTTCCTCCACTCTCTTTTTCCTTCCCTCAATTCTCAACCCTGTTTCAGGAGAAGCGTCTGCAGCGGACAGAGTTTTCTCCCAGGTGGATGTCTGACCATCAGCCCATCAAACCAATCAAGCAGGAGGTGAGGGGGGGTGCGAGGGGGAGGACGACGGAGGGAGGCGAAAGCAGATGCCTCCTGGGGGAAAAAATAAAACCGCAGCATCGCTATTCAGTGGGAAGGAGTCGTTTGAAAGTGCTCGTGCTGAAAGAGAGATGGGTGGTAATGCCCGTCAAAGGCAGGCTGACACTCAGGGTTTCTATGGCGAGCAGGGAGGTGCTGCCCTCTGGATCGCCGAGGTAAGCGGCCTCGCCGCAGACTCTGGTGCAGCTGCGTATGGAAATCTGCGCTCAGTCTGGGGAATTCCACTTCAATGAAAGTGCTGGCACTTTCGAGGCAGTTCAAAGAAAAGTTGAAGAAGGATGAGAGGGCTAGAAGAACCAGCTTACAAAGGGAAATGACAGAAATTCAGCCAAGGGGAAAACGTGAGGCTGCAAACACATGAGGGTGTAGATAGGGCGGAGGGAGAGAAGAATGACTGATGCAGGATGGAGCTGAGCTAGGAGGGGGTCAGCTGGAAATGGAAGTCACAATTTAGGCTGCTTAAAGAAATGCTTATCAAACTGCAGCCTTGTCAGCTGAAACGGCTCTTTCCGTGCCTCTTCACCCTCATCTCCTCTCCACCCCATCAGCGTAACAGCGCTGCTGCTTGCGGGTCTGTGCAGTGAACCAGACCCGGGAAAATGACTGGAGTTAAATATAACCTTTTTCTTTTGGTCGGGGTTATTTTTAACGTAGATCAGCTTTCCAATCCAGTTCACCACGCAGCCCCCAACAGTCACGTTGGCACAGCCAGGGACATGGTACAGTGGAGATGGGGGGTCTTTGAACTGGCAACTGCTACCCAAAACAATCGGTCAGGCAACACGGGATTAGCTTTGGAGGAAAAAATTGTCTTGATTCTATCAGGCCGTGGCATAATCTCTCACTGTAGATGTTATGAAAATGTAGTTACCTGGTGTTTTGTCAAACCCTAGGAAATTAAACTGTAGGGAATATTCCATGTGAGCCAGGGTCAGGGGTTCCCGCAAAACAAAGAGAAAGTACAGTTCCCTGCAATAAATATGATTACTTAGAATAGATAAATAAAAGGAAGGAAGAACCTCTCATCATGCTGCAGATAAAAGCCTGCCGAGAGGAAAATAAGACCCCAGCGATGGTCAGTTTGGGGCTGGAATTGCTCTCTGCAAAGCTCACCCTGCAGGAAGCGCAGGGACACGTGTTTGTTCTCAGGCAGCAGAAATCCCAGAGGAGGAGGGGAGTGGGAAACACATGGAGCCTGAATGATGCTAATCAGTACCGCAGGTGCTCCAGGTCTGCAGCATCAGAGGGCTGTTAATTGCTGCCTGTGGGCCAGTGAAACGTTTCCAGCGAGCGGGGGGCCCTCCCGGCACCCACTGTGCCGGGGTGCGAGGAGCCAGCCGGCGCGAGGGTGGCGGCGCTCGTGCCAGCTCCCCAGCAGGATACCACGGGGGAGCCAGGGGAAGGTGCCGGCATGTCTGATGGATTGTTTGCCGATTGAAGGGTGGGCAGCAGGCGAGTCTGGGGGAGAAAACCTCAACCCGGTGCAGGGGTGACCCTGTCCTCCCGACTCAGTGAGCTGGATGCTGCATCGGTCCGAGATGGAACTGCTCCGTAGGCTCCTAATCCTGCGGGGGATTTCTCAACAGGTGGTTCAGATTAGCTCCTCATTAAAGAGCCGCCTGAGCAGCACCCTCATTAGGGCAGCGCTGCGGAAACCGGAGCAGGGAAGGTTTGGAGGGCGAGGGGCCGGGGCTTGTGGTGAGAGGGGGCCGGGGCGCCCAGGGCACCCGCAGCTCCTGGCCTTCTGCCCCTGAAGCCTGATACCCGCTGTCAGGAGAGCAAAGCAAAAGGCAGAAGTTTGGCTCTTTTGGGGTCCAGGGAGGGGGAAGGCAGCGATGTTGTGTCCTGGAGTGCTCTCTGGCGGAGGGAAGGAGACGGTGATGTCATGGTTGCAGATGTGAGGGGTGCTTTTTATCCTCCAAGTGGGGAGGAAGCTGAAGAAACGTCCCTTTGCCACCTCTTCATTCGGGAAGGAAGTTTAGCTTATGTTGGGTTCTTGCTTTTATCGTTCCAATAGGCATCTGCTTCCATCACAACTAGGAGGAGTTTACTTGTTTGTGTTTGCTTATTTTTTAACCCTGAGTGAGCACCCTCATCTCCAATGGGCTTAAGTGGGACACTAGGCAGAAGGTCTCTCTTGAAAATCTGGCTATTTCTGTGTCTGAAGTGTCTCGAAGAGCCTGTGCCAGCATTGCTGCTGCTCTGCAAGAGCTGCAGGGAGCAGGTGCAGTTGTCTCGGGCATCTGCTGCAGCCCTTGGTGTGCTCATTACACTGTGCTAGTAGTTTCTGCTTTTCCCTTTTCTTCTCTTCCTAGATCTGCTAGGATGACATCCTCTCCTTTCCTTCAGATTGTCCCGTTGCTTTGTCGATGCCATATTTGTGGCGGGTTGATGTGGAACATGCTATGGATTCTGTGTCGCGACATTACAGTATAGAGTGCTGAATGTACCCTGCAGGCTTGGAGAGGCCCTGGTGTGAATGCTGCGGCTTGGATGTTGTGTTCCCATTTCCGTAGGACATGAATGGTGGAAGCTGTAAGAATCCAGGGAAGAAGAAGGTCTGACCTGTGCACCAACAGTTGAAGGAATTAGCATGGCATGCCAGGCTGGCTTAGATCTACTGGCTGGAGAATCTTAAGGCTGATGGTCACATCCTCAATAAAATACCTTGGTGTACCAACTTCTGGTGGCTGGTTCCTGCTCATCCCTTTCTCTTCCTAAGTGCTGCAGAGCCTGATGTTTTTCGGTTCCTACAACAGTTAAAGACTGATCTTGAAAGTTAGGGGAAAACTGGTTGATGATGATCAGGATCAGGCCTGAAAGGAAGATGTTTCCAGTGCATGAGCAGAAAATATGTTGGTAGAGTGGTTGAGAAAGGGATATGAAATGTTTCAAAAGTGGAAATGTAGAACCTGGTTCTGGGGTTCTTGACCTCTTCTACTTGGCATAGCAGTTTCAGTCCTGGGCATCCTGGTGTTTGGATATTGATCAGTTGGAGGAAAGGTTTGAGACAAATGGAATGATTAGGGTGCTGGAAGGATTGCTTTATAATAAACATTTAATCTAATTACAGAAATGTGGGAGTTTTGTTTAAGTGTCTGAAGAAGCTCATAAAGGCTGGAATGTGGCTGAAGAAGAAGATTTATTCTTGCCCAGAAAAGTGTAACTAGGAATAATTGGATGGAATGAGGGGATGAGAAATTAACTTTAGACTGAATGTGAGGAGAAGCTGTCTAACCTAAGTGCATGTGGACTCACAGAATAGTTTCCCTAGGAAGGCGGTAAAGAGAAGTACTAATATTTGGCAAAGATCTGAAAAGGAAAAGAACACGGGCAGAGTTCCTTTGCGGTGACACCATGCTGTGGGGTTGGCTAAAAAGGATCAGCACAGAACAAGTGGTTTTGCTGTCCAGTCTGTCCCTAGATGCAAGATATGGTCCTAATATTGTCAAGACTCCCATCACCCTGTCTTGGACACTTCTCCATAGCTGTTGGTGGTTGAAGCATAATTCTCTTAATATATTGTTGCTGCTGGAGACAGGGAGATAATACATGATTCTTGTCCACAGAGAGCTGCAGAGGGAGACTGTAGGGCAGTGCTGTGTAGGGGAAGGAAAGGCAGAGGGGGAATCAATGTACAGTGAAACCAGACAACATTTCTAGGCGTTTATCAAAGCACCCCGCGGTTCCAGTTCTAGGCAATAAAACAAGGACAAAATAATCATGGTGCCAGTTGTGTTTTTTGGGGGGTTAATAATGGGCCTGGAGAAGTTGATGGTCTGAGCAGCAGCCAAGGGACCCCAGCTGATTGCTAATCCTCAGGAAATGCCTTCTTGCCTAAGTTGTGGTTGCTGGTTATTGCCTGAAAATTAAGGTGAAGAAAACTGTATGCACATTATTCTTTTCTGGTTGATATTCCCTTTTGATAAGGCACACATACCGTGGTCTTGCAGAAGTCAGAGGTGGCAGTTGCTGGTAGATGACCAATTCATTTGTCTTATAATTAAATTAGGTTAATAAAGGTAATTCCACACTGCCATACACATACCTTGCACTTTATTGGAGAAATAGGAGCAGGCGATCCCTGGTCTGGGAAGCCTGCAGTCTAAGTGGGATCAAACAGAGCCTTGCAGCCTGCTGGCAGTGGGGAGGTGAGGAAGTGGGGCAATAAAGAGCCAGGCGTCCTTGATTGAGAAAACTGGTTGGGGGACCCAGCAGGAAAACTGTCCAAACAAACAAGCAAAAGTTCAGGAAAGATTAGCACACAGAAATATGGTGGCCTTTATTTTGAACAAGAAAGGAAAACACTCTGAACGATACCTTGATGCAAGGCTGTACCAGTCTCTTTTCCTATCCTAAGTACTCTGTTTTATAGGAGGGTAGTCTTTGCTACTCATGCTGGCAGCTCAGGACTCTACTAGCTGGAAGGGGGAGAGGTGTTGTGTGGGGGTGTCAACAGCACGGATCCTTTGCCCAGAAGGGAAATACACACGGTGCGTCCCTGGCAGAGTGGCAGCTTGTCTAACCCATCGCTTCTCCTTCCTTTGTCCCTGCATCAGTAGGGTTTCATTGCTTGACAAATAACTTTCCTTTATGTGTTGCTTTTCATCTGAGAATTCATATGTACAAATCCTTTTTTCCCCCCCACTTTTTTTTTCCCAGCCATTCATTGTAGGTACGCTTTAATACTTGCTCAAAGTAAACCTGCCTCTGCTCAGACTTCAGTAAGCCAAATGCATTACAGTTTTTGTCACACTGTTTTGTCACAGGTAAACCCGAACGTGCTGAATTCAATGGAGAAGCAGAGGCGCAGGGAGGAAGAGGAGGAGCGCCAAATCCTTATAGCAGTACAGAAGAGGGAGCAGGAGCAGCTGCTGAAGGAGGAGAGGAAGAGAGAAATGGAGGAAAAAGTCAAAGCAGTGGAAGGTGCGTGCAGCCAGTGTGATGCAGGGGCAGAAGCTTTCAAAGCCGAGATTGAGATCTTGAATTAAGATCTGCCATTTGTATTCCTCCCCTGCCAGACATGCTAGTGGGAATATCTTTTCTTGCACTTACCTCAGATAAATTGGCTTGACCGTAGTTTCTTTTCCTTTGTCCATCTCTCTTGGTGTTGGTGGCTGTTCTCTAGTGCATCCTTCAGCTGTGTTTTCTTCCTCAAATCACAGTTATTTTCTCCCTTGCCCCAGCTGTATTTTTCTCCCACTGTTTGTGGTATTCCTCATTTCTCTTAATCTATCTTCCCACTTGGGTCTTCATGACTTTCCCGGTGCGCAGGATTAGCTGGCTTTTCTCCTGCTGATTAGCATTTGGTCCTTTTGGCCTAATGCATGATGAAAGAAGGATTCCCATTGGGGAGAAAGGGGAGGAGATGTTGTGGGAGTAACAAGAATAGTATTTTTATATTGCGACTGGCCTCATCAGTTGGAGAACTAAAGATATATGGACCAGGCTAAATACAGCACCAACAGGTGGCAACTTCAGGTGTTCGTCTTTTCTTTCCATGGTTTTGAATTAAATGCTGATTTAAGCTGTTCTGCAAGAAATAACAGCATTGTGTTTAATACATCAGATTGAGGCACAGACAGCAGGCATTCAGTACACGTAGGCACTAGTGTCTAAGAGCAGGCTCATTTCTGACCACCTTCTCTCTGTCAGCCTCCCTTATGGGGATTCCTTTATCTGCTGCTTTTGCTGCTGTGGCTGGCTGGGCTGGTGCAGTTCCAGCGAAATGCTGAAAATCTTCAGAAGACTGTGGTGGTAATGTGTGGCAGTATCAGTATCGTGAATCCTTAAGTAGATACAGAATCAGAAAAGGAAAAAAGATTAAGTTCATGCAGACCTTGTAAACTTTCCAAGATGAAACAGTCTGCTACCAGATGTTTGGTAGCAGACCAGATGTTATCTAAGAATAGCTTCTTTTACCTGCTTACCTTTCTAACCTTTAGAAAATCCAATTACTTGCTTGGCCTTCATGTATTCCTGGTTGCCAGTCCTGGTTAATCCAGCGCTTTAAACTCAGAATCATCCAGCTTCCATATCTGCCACAGATATCTGTTTCACCTTGGCAAATTGCATGTTCTCTGTGCTTTAATTCTCCATCTGTATAGACAAAATTAATCCTGAAGTTCCAGAAGACCTCCAAAGATAAATGTACCTTATTTTGGTATAAGCCATGTCCTTTTCTGGGTAAATGCAATCACTACATCATCTGATGCAAAGGCACCAGAGCCACTCAAAGAAATGGGCTTGAGGTTGGGCAGTAAACTGTTTTAAGCAAATTTAGAATACATTCGTGCTTTTCTTGATACAGATGCTTTTTTTGTTTTGCTTTTGCAGTTTCCTTCAGTTTAGTTTGAACTTTTCCCTAGTCAGTTTAGGCTAAGTCAAGAGTCTCCTTTTAAGCTGGTGCAAAAGCTGTTTGGGAATGTTATTTAAATGCCTGACTTGTTCAGTTAATCACTGCAGTATTTTTCATCCCTGGAAAGGGCAGTTATCCAGGTAAAACTTTGGCTTCTTAACCATCTTTCCTTATTGCCAAGCAAACCCTCCATTAGCATTTACTTTCATAAAAGTTCTTATGATGGACAGAAAATTATTTGAAAATCAAGTAATTTGTTTTGCTTTGTTCAGACTTGTTAAAACTGGACATCTGTCGACAGAGATTTTAGGGCAACAAAGATTTTATTGTATTTTGCAGTTCTTTTGGAATTTCACAGTAATTTTGTAAAGTCGTCTATAGAGGGGCGATGTGAAACACAGGGTGAAATATCTGCTTTCTGATGAACTTCATCAGAACTTCACCTGCTTCTCAGTTTTGAACTGTATGCCTGTCTTTAGATCACGTTCCTGTTTCCTGTCTGGGATTTCACTTCCCCCCACTCCACGTACACCCCAGGTAGCAAACCTCCTGCTAGGCCCATCTGTACTTTCCTGAATTTATCAGTTAAAGTAGCTTTCTAGATTTCTACCACAGTGGCAGGGTAGAGTTTCCCAGTTCTCTTCTCAAATGCTGCTCCAACATTACCTCTCACATGTATGACTTTCTAGCTGTTTGAGGTACTTTTTAGGGCATGGGTTAGCTTTTGAAACCTGATGGATAGGACTCAACCCGTGTCAAGAGCATGACAACGAGCTCTGCCAGTGATATTTCACGTGCTTTATTAATAACTTGCTGCGGTAGAGGGACCTGACATTAATCCTGGCTGAGCTCCAGCCTGGTACCAGGCTAGTGCACCCTGACTGCTGTGAGTTTACCAGGTCAGATCCTCAGGCAGGCATTGATAGATTTCAAAAATCTGTGTCACCTTACCCCTTGGTTGCTGTTGCCGTGAGGTTTTCCTTTTGCTGCCCAAATCATCACTGCATGTTTTTCTTGTCTTTCTTACTTAGATGACATTATTATGGATGTCTAAGTGATGCTAATTTTATGAAAGAAGCATATGAAAGAGTACTGAACTGTGCTTGGACAGACTGCTAACTGCAGTTTGATGTTGGCCTTATCATTAAATGTTATAATAGATGCTGATAGATTCTGTAGGACATCCTAGATGGAAGTCCTGTCCTCCCAACTTCAGTGCTACCCAGAATCTTCTAAAGGGAAATTTGGACTTTCTTTTTCCAGTCTTTGATAGACATGGTCATGAACCTCTCTGGAAATACCCACCTTGTAGCTATTCTTAATTTTCTTGTGCCCTCAACTCCCATCCCAAGTTTGGTTTTGACTGACAGAGTAAGACAGTAAATAAATATTCTCACACCAGAGCTGGTGCTTCTTGAGTTTCTGGCATTTTCCAGAGATGGAGCCTCTACTAGAGGGTATTAGCCAAGTCTCCCCCATCTTTCTTTCACTCTGCATGTTCCTGTGCTGTGACCTGTTTTCTGGGGTGTTACTCCTATGACATCTCTCCTTGAACATTACTTTCACAGAATTCTGCTCCTACAGAAAGTTGGTACAACCGCAGGTGTTTAGCAAGTCAAATGAATTCAGATTTCCTATAAGAAAAAGGAAATGAGGTTCATAAGAGCCCATAAACTTTCTATTATGAAGCAATCTGTTAGCCAGCTGTCTGGTTGCAAACCACAGGTTATATTGCCAAGCGTTGCTTCTTCCTGTCTCTCACCTCTTAAACCAAAGCTGTCCCAGTGGCCCTCCTGTGTGGCAGCTTGCTTGCTCTGGCTGCTGGCTGGGAAGGCCTACCTGAACAATCTTCCCAAAGCTAGCCACAGTGATGGAGAGTATTAATGACTCCAGTTACTCATTGCCACCCAGCTGGTAGAACTTCACCCTTCCCTCGGCACAACTCTTCATCCATTTCAGTGCAAAACCAGCTGCCTTGATTTCATCTGGCTGAGGTGAAGCCTCTGAAGAATGGTAACTTAACAAGCCAGCTCTTTCTGTAGAGCTGGTCTGTGCCTAGATCTGTGTCTTGAACTTCTCTCTTTGTACCACTCTGTGGTCAGGAATTTGTCTGAAAGCTGGCTAGGGGACATCTGTATCACAGTAATGCTTCAAAATCATTGATAGCAAAGTCAAGGGGAAATGAAGAGGCGTGTTGATGGTGCGCTCCTCTGCTCCTGTGCTATTGCTGCTTTTCCTGAAAGAACAAGAACATTTCTACTAGAGTTCGTGACAGTTGCAGGAGCTGCCTTCGTTTTCCCTGCAGGATCTTGTTGACAAGGAGCGCTGAATGGTTTTTCACCTCTCTCCCCTCCCCACTGCAGAACGGGCCAGGAGGAGGAAGCTTCGTGAAGAGCGGGCCTGGCTGCTGGCGCAGGGAAAGGAGCTCCCGCCTGAGCTTTCTCACTTGGATCCTAGTTCCCCTACCAGGGAAGAGCGAAGGACCAAGGATCTGTGAGTATGCAGCTGGGCATGCAGCACGTGGGTGCATTGAAGCTTATGTATATGAGTACGGGGAAGAAAGGAGTGTGGTCATTCACAGGAATGTGGAGGGAGAAGTGAGGTTGGAGAACAGTGAGGAGTAAGCTGAGAAACAGCTGTATTTGGTCCACACTAGTGTTTGTGATGAGGCCTGTTTGTCAGCATTGTGGCTTTGTGTGTGGGGTGGACGGGAAGGTGAGGAACAAGAGCATGTGTTATGTCCTCAGTCTGCATATTCTCTGTTGTGCTTCCCATTACAGCTTTGAACTGGATGATGAGTTCACAGCCATGTACAAAGGTTAGTCCTCCTGCCCCAGCTTTCCCCATTGCATGACTTGTTCAAGGTGAAGTACTCCCCTGGGCGTGTGTGTGTAACCGTTCACCTTTCTTTTGTTACTGCCAGTTCTAGATGTGGTAAAGGCTCACAAGGACTCTTGGCCCTTCTTGGAGCCCGTCGATGAATCCTATGCTCCCAACTACTACCAGATCATTAAGGTATGGAGTGTGGTCCAGCCAACTTGACCGATGCACTTTGTTGACTGGAATGCAGGTTTTTGGAAGTGTTTTGAAGTTTTGTGGGCTGTCAATTGCAGTCAACTGGAGTCAAATTGCATGACTCCAGTAGTCCTGTCTAGCCTTCCAAGTCAAGGAAACCAAAGATGAGAGATTGCCTCTCAGGAAAGCAGCCTTTGCTCCCCGCCCCCTCTCTGTGGGGAAGCTCGCTATGCAACTTTGTAAGCCCCACTATGCTTGCAATAACTGAAGGGAGGTTTTGTTGCTTTTCAGGCCCCCATGGACATCTCTAGCATGGAGAAGAAGTTGAATGGAGGTCAGTACTGCACCAAGGAAGAATTTGTGGGCGATATGAAGACCATGTTCAGGAACTGTCTTAAGTACAATGGTGAAGGCAGTGGTAAGAGCAGTAAGATGTTAAGTTTGTCTATTTGCAGTGCTGAGTCAAAACAAGCAGTTCCCTCTCTACTCACCAGTACTTGATTTCTGCTTATTCTCTTTCAGGGTATTTTTGGGAGGCCAGACAAAAGGGTAGGAGCTCCTGAGTAATAAGGCCTGGGGTTTTAGGAAGGTTTTTAGCACAATTTGGTCATGCTGAATTGGGGTATGGCACACTAAGAGACTCCCATGTTGGTAGATGGTGAAGGCAGAACATAGAAGAGAAGGAAGTCTGTTTCTTTGAGCTCATTCCTTCATGTGCTTGTGTGTCTCGGTGTGCTCCTTTGTCTCATATGTAACACAGACTTTGAAAAGCATTGGAATCTGGTTAGCTCCCAGTGTTTGTTGAGTAACAGAGAAAATTGAGGAATGAACCAAGCTTGTAGCCCTTTGGATGGAAAATGTAGGTTTTGGTTTCCTTGGCTACTGAATGAACAACATGACACTGCAAATGGGAAACCCTGAGTTTAATTGCCATGCCAATTAAAATTCTGCATGTTGCTTAGGTAAGAAAGCAGTTCCCATAAGGTGGGTCATCACTGCAGACTGTGTCTCACCAGCACCGCCTTGAAAGGGAAAACAGAGTTACCCAGCTTGTCGCTGTGGGCCCCAAGTGAAAATGTTCCTGCACTGCTACTGGGAGAGTTCTGTTTCCCGAGGAACTTCTGGGTTAGCTTAGTGGAAACAACTGGGAAGTCATTTGGTTCAAGCCTTTGTCATTAACACTTCTCACATGTCTTTTCCTTCCTATCCACTCCAATGAAAAGTAGGATCCCCTCTGAGCAGAACTATCCTGTGGAAATGATGTAATGGGGACACTGGTGCTGGCAATAGCTTTCATGTCAGGGTCAGCAAGTGCTTTGGAAACTGTACATGGATAAATAGGTTTGCTGATTTTTCCTCAGTCTTATGGCATACAGCAGAGATTTGAATGAGTCCAAGAAAAGCCTCTGAATGTAATCAAATTAGCATTGCTGGAAGTTCACATTTCTTTTCTCGGCACTCTGCTGGCTAACTGTGCATGCATCGCTGTGAGCAGAGGTGGTGCTTCTCATAATGTAATTTTTGGCACTACGCTGGAACACTGGCTTAATGCTGACTCTGCAAGCCATGCCACTAACGGTACTTCGTCATGCCTATGTGCCTGTCCTCTGGTGGGGTTACTGAACCAATCTGATGCTGCATCGTTTATCGAATGTAAACCAAAGTCAACTAGTTAGAAACAAAAGTCTTCCTCAGAGAAACTTTGTGGAGGGGAGATGATTTATCAGATGGGGAAAGTCTGATGTTGCTTAATTGTTTCTCTCTATAAGGCTCTGTCCCTGATGTTGTTGGGTTTTTTGACTGCAGAATATACCAAGATGGCTTACAATTTAGAGAGGTGTTTCCACCGAGCAATGATGAAGCACTTCCCTGGGGAAGATGGAGACACAGATGAGGAGTTTTGGATCAGAGAAGATGGGAGACGAGAGAAGAGAAGCCGGCGGACTGGCCGCTCCAGCACAGGCAGTGTTTGGACTCGGTCGCGAGACCCAGATGGACCAGGCAAGAGGCAGCAACGCCTGGAAAATGGAGGAAAACCTCCACCATATCGAGCTACTTCTAGGGCTCCTGCTTCTTCTTCCTCTTCCTCCTCCTTCTCCTCATCCTCTGCAGAGGATCCAAGTGGCAACCCAATGCAACCTCCTCGAGAAGTGGGCCCTTCCAATGGGCGAGGTTTCCCTCGCTCTCTGCAGTACGGCGGCATGCCCAGCCCTGTGCCACATCCTGGCCAGATGGTAAGGAGCAGTTTCTGCTGTTCTTTGCTTGTCAGGCCTGCAGAGGGAGGGAGGTAAAGGGGAATGAAGCTCTTTACTGTGAAATCCCTCCTGCGTGGCAAGAACCTTTTCCCAGAGATTAAGGGTCAGGGCTCTGGTTTCTACAACTGAAACTTTTCACCCCTGAGATTTAAATTGATACAGTTTCAGTCTTCACCACACTAGCTGGAAACAGCCTCCTAATAACTCTCCTAACAGTTTTCCATGACTGGCATGTCCCCATGTGGGCTTGCGCCAGCCCTGGGTTCCCCCAGTTCTCTTCTCTCCTTGGAAAGCAGTCACATTTCCTCTCTCAGCCTCCAGTTTGTGATGCTGAACAAGCCAGTCTTCTTTTGTCTCAATTGTTTACAGGTGTCTGGTAACTTTGTGCCATCTGTGTACTACTGCATTTCGTGCCTTGAGTACTTATAAAAAAGCAGTAAACAAAATCAAACACAAGGCCACCCTGGACTGCAGCAGTGACCTCCCTTTAGCCCAACATTTCTTCTCTGAATGCCACCTGTTCTGCCTCCCCTCTGGGCTGTTCCTCACCCATCCTTCACTGCCTTTTCCATTTTAACCAGTGATGTCCTGTGGTGTGGTGTATCAGCTGCTCCCCTGAGATCCAGGCTACCCCTCACCCTTTTAGCTAGAGATCAAACAAAATTTTTAGAGCGCTTATTGTGATGCAAGTAGAGGCAGGTAGTAGGGCACCTGGAGGCAATGAGTATTTTGAAGGAAATCCAGCATGTTCCCCAGTTGTCCTGCTCGCATGCTCCTGTAGTCCATTCCTCTCCTTGGAGTGAACCACTGCCCCCTCCAATCTTCTTGCTTGCTCCCAAGTAGTTGGTGGCAGGTGAGTTTATCGTGACCTGAGCAAGGGGACACGTGGCTGGGGTGTGAGAAAGTGGCTTTGGCAAGGGAGCTGTGCCACCTCGTAGGAAAGAGACTACAGGTTTTTCATGTATCTGCAAAAAGCCCATCTGCTCATCTGTGTGGTTCCTCCAGTCTTGGTTTCCCCTCACCTGCAGCAGCTCTGCTGCTTTTCTGTACTTCACAAATTGTTTTATTTCTCCCTCCTGCATCCCTCCCCATCCCCCAGAGACCAGCCGTGCCAGGAACGTTTGGCCCCCTGCGCGGATCGGATCCCACAAAACTCTACGGCTCGCCACGAGTGCCTGAGCCCCATCCTGGAGACCCGGTCCAGCAGCACCAGCACTTTGCCATGCAGGTAAGGAACGCCACAGCCAAGGAAACCTGCAGCCTGGGACCCACAGGTCTCCTCCACTCCTTGGTGCAATGGCTCTCACCGAGGCCCACCCCGTTTCTCTCTCTCTCTCTTTTTCCCTCCTCCCCAGCCGGCTGTGGGACTGAGCGAGCACCGCGGGCACAGGCTGGCTGCCCCAGAGAAGCAGGCCTGCGGCGGACCAACCCACGTCGCCGGCCTTGGCCCCCGACCG